ACCTTATTCGTGATAGAGTCGGTCAGTTGCTTTCTTTCTTGCTCAAACGTCCGGCCTTTAGCACTGGGCAAAAGGGGTGGAAACGTGGTTCTATTTTGATGGTCAAAGTAATCGGCATCCATGGAGCTGGTTTCGGACTCTGAACTGGTGTACTCTTGATGCCATGATCCTGAGGATAACGACATAGATGGAGATAGACTTCGTTGAACCGGGATGTTGATCGCTCCTCTACTCTCGAGTGCCGTATCCAGAGTCGACAGCGGTGGGGGAGGGGGCGGTGGTGGTGCGCGTAGTAAGGTGGTTGATACAGGTTGTTGGAGTCCGAGATGAAGCGGCGCGGGAGGCGGAGGAGGAGGGAAATGTTTAGACATATAATCTGTTCTTTGTCGATTATTTCGAGACGCAGGACATAGAGTGGTCGGGCCCAAAGCCTGAAAGGCAATGTGGTGGTGATGAGATATATCAGGCTCTGTTTGCATAGGCAAAGGGGCCATCGAGGAGTCATGGAAGATCGAGTTCGGTCGCATCGACGCTGGCAGAGGAGGAGGTGGTGGTCGTGGCAGCCGTGGAAGTCGACCATGATCATTATCGGTACCATCGGTAGACTTGACTTCGGATGTTATATCATGCTCGTGAGATGGTTCATCCAGTGGCGGGCTTGAGGCAAAGCCCCGTCGGCCAGGGTAGTCGATCGTGGCCATGAAGAGAAGCTATGGTGCGTGAAGGACGCGGTACTGTGCCATCGCTATGAGGTGTTCCGATGGGCCCAAGAAGGAAGAAGGCAGAAGTCGGCGTTGATTGCCCTGAAATCGAAAAACATTAGTGAAGCGAGCGAGACCTCAAAATTGTCGTTGTGGACGTAGTTGACGCGGCTCGTTCCAGTCGTCACCACCACCCACAGATGCTGCTAATTACGGTTGCATGCCAGCAGCAACAATAGCAAGCAACAGCAGCAGCGGTAACAGACGTGTGAGAGGAAGGACGGCCAGCCACAGGCCGAGTCGTGAAGCCGTTAGTGGAACCAACCACCTTACCCCTTGGCGGTAAGTTGACCCACCTTCTTCCCGGGGGTCCTTGGCCCCTGTTCTAAGCGGAGACGGACCAGGAGTTGCGCTGCTGCCAATACTGATACTAAGCCAGATGTGTCAGCTGGTCTGCTAATGAGCTTGAGCTCCCGTGGGGGGAAGCCGTCAACGGTCCACTGCCAGGTGGATACGGACTGCGCGGGGTCGTGGTGTCCTCGTCGCTACTGGCGGGACGACGTGCCACATCCAGACGCAACTCGACGAAAAGCGCAGCCTGATCCCGTCGTCCTTTTCCAATCGCTTGTACCGGTACGGCATTTCCATCAAACACGCGAGCCAACCGCCGCCAGCCAGCAAATCCCCTTCGGGCCTTCATACAGCAGGGATGGGGAGCTCCTTGGGTTGCACTCCAAACAGCGAAGAGAACGAGACGGGGGGGGGGGGGGTTCCATATGTGAGACTACCACCGAAGACCATCTTGCGGCTGTTGTTCTGTCACTTGCTCCACGCGGGAGTGGAATACCTGATGCGTAACGAGAGGAGGTTCTTATCGACCCTGAAGGGCTAGAGCCGGAAGAAAAGGCAACTGTACCGTGCCACACCCTCTTCTTGTCGTCTCCGTCCCGATTCTCGTCTTCCGTCCCCCGTTTCCCGACCTTCTTCCTCTCCCACTCCTTCAGCTTAGGTCCGACCTTCCAGCCTACCTAGGTATTACTCACCCAAGCTCAGGATTCAGGTGTCCTGCAAGACGATGCAGGCTCGCTGAAGCTCATCCCACCCCTTCTGTAGAGAACTGTTGCCTTGCGCCAGTAAGATCTCCCAAGATACGTCACGCGTCGCCGTACATCTGCTCCAGCCAATTGGGCGGGAATTCCCATTTACCCTGCCGCGACCCCGATGCCTGGAGGCCCGGCTGGTCTCTTGTCCCTTTCCTTTGCGGCTCAAGCTGACGCTGCTATCAAGACGCCGTCTCCGTCCCGAGCCCGGCCCTACTTGGTGGCCCACTCATGACCGACGCCGATATCCAGAAGTCTTGAGTGTCGACACATGATGCCATCATGAAGTCAAGCAAGTCTAGCAAAAGCAAGTCGAAGAATAGCGGTGGCGGTGGTGGTGGCGGTGGAGGAAGTAGTCCATGGAGCGATTGGATATGGTCTCCCGAACATGGAAAATACTATATGTATTGCATGAAGAATGGTAGGTCGCGAACCCAGGACAAGTCGAGATATCGCTGACCAAGACAGGTCAGCCGAAATATCACTGGCAAGAAACACAGGCCACTCTACAACAACCTGTCGAAACAATTCCACGCGAGCAGCCAAATGTTGAGGAGATAACAAACGGTTTTGACAACCTGTCAACATCCACTTCCACAACAGACGGCGATTATAGCTACGCACCGCAAGGCGATGACGGGACTAGTGAGTTGATAGATGATGCCCGAGTTTGCTTTGGCTTACACGATGCAGATACGTCTTATACGTATCCAACTTCGACAACACCATACGACAATTCGAGTCGATCAGGAAAGGGCAAGGAGACGGCGTACGAGTCACAGCCGCATGATGGGGAAGATAGTCCACCCGCGGATCCAGCCCCGCCTTTGGACCCTTTCTGGGGTGCCAAGCAGGAGGCTCCCCAGGGATATGTGCCGGACCCGGCTGCGCATCAGGATCAAGATTGTATAGGCCCTCACCCACGTAATGACAAGCGACTGACCATTTAGCAGTCTTGCCCCCTCAAAATAGTACAGAAAGCATGTACCATGAACATGAGGTGTACACGGCAGCCCGCGATTCAGGTGCAACCGCTCATAGTCAAGGTAAGCCTTCCGGGTTCGCGTTAGGGGCCGAACTGACATTACCAGACTCTGGATACGGTACGACAGACACAGATGACTACGACAACGCAATCCTACAAGAAGCTTTGGCGGAGACATATGGAAAAGAGAGTCAAGGCGGACCATCAACAGAGCCAGCGTACGGTGGGTTTGACCGCAATTGCCAAGTACCTAGCCGGTATCTGACTGCAACAGCAGCATACGCAGATAGTGAAGATGACGGCACGCGAACACCAACAGGCCCAACATCCCCTGCGCCTCATACTACATCTTTTGCTGAGCCCAGTCGCATCAGTGGGACATTCGGCACCAACGAGGATTTGGACCCACGTAAGTAGCCTTGTAAGTTCTGGTCTTGGTCTTGGCTAATCGCGCATAGGATACGTTGTCGAACCGTCACACAAGTTTCGTCCTGGATCGGTTAGTGGTGTGACTCAGCCTATGTCTCCGCTGGCTAATTGTACTAGATCTTCAAAGTTCTGTGGTGTGAACCGTCAGGCACAAGCCTCGGAGGGACACCGACCATATCAGATCGAAAACCAATTCAAGATCGTTATGGCGGCTCTCTCTTCGTCGGCTTCCGCCGCTTTGTCGTTGTTGCTAATGATGAAGGTCATTGTACCTGCGTGTGAGTGGTACCAGACCTCATATTAGTTTCTTGTACTAAACATTGTAGACCTATCCTCACGTACCAAGGCAAGGCCTGCAAAAAGAAGGGCGTAAAAGCTCATAAGCATGGTATGGTATATCATAACAAGCCCCACCGGCTGCTACAGAATGAGCCAGAGCTCGGATTCGCTCCCGTGAGAGCGAAACTCACCGTCGATGGAGAAAAACTCGATAAAGCTTCTCGCGTCAACTACTCGAAGCTTGTTACTATTGAACACAATGTCAAGGTCTTCTTCATTGGTCACATCAGCCCTGATGCTTTGGACGACTTTGCGGATGCTGTCGACACATGCTGGGAAAGGAAGACGCACTCGCATCGTAGGTCGAAGAGATAAGCAGACAATTTGTTTGCAAACGTTTTTGCGTCTTCGTCATGACAGCCGCACAGTTCAAGACTATATACGTTTTGATGAGCATACTTATATGCTCCTCTACCATGATTGGATGACAGTTTATTTCGCCAACAGTCCGGCCATCTCATGGTACTCTTTTTTTCTTATAAAACAGAAGGAAAAAAAAACCTTTGGTATTTAAAGCTTTGACACGCCGAATTCGAATCATGCTGGACAATGATCATTACGTCACATGGGTGGTTCATCGAGGAATTGGCAGCATCAACAGCATTGATGCAGACACTTAACAGCAGTGGAAGCCATGGGAGGGGGCATGGGCAGATTGCATTAACGGAATCTCTTACTATCTATATGATATTTACCTCATTAGCACGAAAACGACTTTGAGCTCAATGTCATTACACCTCCTATATCTCACTGTAGCGAAGAGCAAGAGGCATAACGATAAATGTCAGTATAGACATAGTAATAAAAAGTATGTTTGGGAAGTAAATTTTCATTTTACTTTTAGTAGGGCTTTAGTTAGTACTAGTGTCTCGGACTGGCCTCCGGGGGCGCCAGCGGTCGTTGCACTGCTGCCATGCCCTTCAATTACTGTGACATCTGCGCAAAACAATACAGGACTTTTAGAGACTTGCAGGTCCAGAAGTCAGCCAAGCGCCACGTGCACAGCCTGGCCATAGCATTATAGTATGTAAGTGTAAGTAACTAGGCAATTTGTTAACATACCTAGACGTCTATGTGTAGCCATACTTAAAGCAGACTTATCACGAGGTTGCCGTTTTACGAAGTGCTCGCAGGGAGCTCAAAGTTCAGATTACATAACTGCACATCTCGCGCTAGACATCCGAGAGTCAAAATGCTATGCGTTAACAATCGACCCACGCTTCGCCCCTGCTGTGAAACTGGAACTAGCGGACAACCGAGGCTCGGTATCTTCTCCCCCGCAAACGTCACCGACCGGGGGGGGGGGTTCTCTAACAGCCAGCCCTGAACGAACCCAGGGTAGGGAGCAGGCGGCGCATTCCTAATCTCCTTTATATGTTCAACCTGTGCCTGTCATATCGCAGTTTGACGTTGCCTTCTCTGCAATTGATCAACAGACCGAACAAAATGGCCGAAGCACAGCTCAACGACTTCCCCTCCCTCTTCTCTCTCAAGGGCAAGGTCGTCGTTGTGACCGGCGGTTCCCGTGGTCTCGGCCTGCACGCTGCCTCAGCGTATGTCCTTCCGTGCCAATCCACCGTGATCCATCTCTCTAACTAGCCTTATTTACAGCTTCCTCCAAGCCGGCGCCTCCAAGGTCTTCATCTCCTCCCGCAAGCGCGCCGCTTGCGAAGAGGCCTGCAAGGCACTTAATGCCCTCCCCAACCTGTCCCCCGGCGCCGTTGCCATCTCCGTCCCCTCCGACGCTGCTGACATCAAGGGCGTCGAGCACCTTGTCGCCGAGGTGAAGAAGCATACGGACCGCGTCGACGTGCTTTTCGCCAACGCCGGCGCCACTTGGGGCGAGGCCTTTGATACGCACCCCGACAGTGCTTTTGCCAAGGTCATGGATCTCAACGTCAAGGGCGTCTTCAACACCATCCGGCTCTTCACACCGCTGCTAGAGAAGGCGGCCAACACGGAGGACCCAGCGCGCGTCATCATCACAGCCTCGGTGGCGGGTCTGGGCGTCGGCACGCTGGGCAAGCAGGGCACGTACGGCTACAGCGCCAGCAAGGCGGCCGTGATCCACCTAGGCAGAAACCTGGCGTTGGAGCTGGCACCGAGGCACATCACGGTCAACTCCATCGCCCCTGGCTTCTTCCCGAGCAAGATGTCCAACGGCCTTCTCGAGATCGGGGGCGGCGCCGACAAGATCGGCAAGGGGAACCCCATGGGCAGGCTGGGACGGCCCGAGGACATTGCGGGCGCCGTGGTGTACCTCGCCAGCCGTGCGGGGTCGCATGTGAACGGAGAAGTGATCGCTATTGACGGCGGATCGCTGTGGCAGCGTGGGGAGCTCAATATTTCCCCCAAGTTGTAGCGGGCTGCTTTACTGCACATGGAGTCTGGGAATAGTGTGTTGTTGATGTCAACAAAATGTGTATTATCGTGTTGATTGCCAAACATGTCTGCGCACCCACCAGACCAAGGGTCGATCATGCCGTTCTAAGACATTATAACCGTATGAAACCATCTCTCTATTACATATAAATCCCACGTGTAAAAACATGGCTTTGACAGAAATCCAAGTCTAGAGAGGCTTCCTTGCCACCCAAAAGCTCGCGCGGTACGTCGTGTGCAGCATGCTCTCCGGGTCGTGGATGTACGGCGCCTCGATCCCCGTCTCGCGCCTCTCCACCTCGAACCCAACTCGCTCAACCAGTGCCATGACCTCGTCGTCACAGAGCTCGAAGCTGCCCGGGTCCGCGATGCCCGACGAGTTGTTGTAGTCGTGCTCGCCGTCGCCGTCTGTGTCGCGGCCGTGGTTCCCGGGGGCATTGTTCTCGAAATGCCACAGCAGCGGGCCGAAGTTGATGAGCACGCCCCCCGGGCGCAGGCAGTGCAGGATTGTCTCGAGGTACCGCACGAGATTGGGCGCCGTGTCGAGGAAGAAGACGGTGGCGACGGCGTCGTACGCAGCACGATGATCGTCGTCGGCGTACAGACAGAGGAAGTCGGCGGCACACATGGACATGCTACCGGCGGAGGGCCCTGCGGCGGCGAGTTGCGTCGCCGGGTGGATGTCCGGCACCGCGCAGCTGCGGAGGTGGTTCATCCGGGAGCGGTGATTGGAGAAGGAGTGCGCCCAGGGGTAGATCTTGTGCTGCCCCGCGGCCTTTGTGCAGTTGAGGATATACGATGAGGCAAGAAGCTGGTGGTAGGATATCTCGTTGCCCTCGGCGTCATGGCCCGCACGACATAGCTCAAAAACGAGACGGCCGAGACCCGCACCGGGGACGAGGACCTTGAGAGGCTCCGCTGGGGCCGATGGGGAAGACAGGCGTGCTTGACGCTCGCGGTCGACGGCGTCTAGCACGGGATCGTAGCATAGCCGCCGCTCCCCGGCACCCTCGGCGGACCAGTCGCGGTAGAATTGGCGGAGAGTGCTGCGGGCCTTGTCGGTGTCATTGTGCTTAGCGACCCCGACCCAGGCATCGGGCAAGCGCGGCTCTTCCGTCGAGCCTTCCGGAACGAGGTGGAAGGAGCGCAGACCGTTGTGCGCGATGGCGCGAGCGAGCTCGGCGTTGGACTCGATGGCCTCGTCGGTGCGCTCAAGGGTGTCTAGGAAGTTGAAGGGCGGTGCGGCGAGCATTTGCCAGTGCGCCTGGGGCAGGGCGTAGAATGACTGTCGGCGGAGGTGGGTTACATTGAAGTGTGCCACTTTGGCATATTGGCTGGCAGGATGTGTTAGTGAGATTCACACATGGGAGATGGTACAGGTCATGATGAGATCACGGGGGAATAATATCCATTGGCTTCAGGTAGCAGACCAAGATGAATGCAGTGTCGCTCAACTCCCACATCGCTTGCTAGCCCGGAAGAAACATGGACGAATTAAAAACTTGACACCGCCAGAGAAAACTCACAGAAACGAATCCAGCGCGCAGAATATCACCCTCGTCTCCTCCGGATCCTCAATCGTGTTCTCCATACCACTCCATTGCTCATCGTCCGCCATCGCTGCTGCCGTTGTCTGTCGTGGGCCCTGCCGCTGGCCTCCCACCGATGTGTCTAGTTTGGGCCAGTGACGGCGTAAGTGATGGCCGTATGGATTGAACCGTACCCGACACTTTGGCTGTTTCTGGATCTTTGGTGGCCGGTGGGAGCAGACAGAGACAGCTATGCTATGATGCTGATGGGTGAGGGGCAATGCAGCAACCCCCACCAAATGTGTCAGCCGGGCGAGGTCCGCCGTGAAAGGGGCGCGAACTGGGTATGGAAGCTCGCGCGGCGTCTCCTGCAGGCAACGGATGATGATCTCTATCTGCACCCGATAGATATGGGGCTGTGGGAGGAAAGTATGAGGAGCCAAAGTGAATCTGTCAGAAGTCCGCGATATGATTATTGCTACCAACCCCCTCCCCCTCCCCCTCCCCCACCGAAAAAAAAAAAAGGATCCTTTTTTGGTTTGTTGTGCGATTGCTCCCCTCACCTCCCCGAAAGCGGCCTCTGCCGTCCATCGCACTTGCATGGATGCTATTGTTGAACTACCTACCCATAAGTAAGTACCTAACCGTGGGGCTGTCCTGCTACAGCGTAGGCATGGCTGAATAATCAGACCATACCTATAGTGCAAGGGTCCACTGACGAAAGTGCACTACGACCACGCCGTATTGTATCCGTAGATGGAACTTATACCCACCAGGCCAGACTTTCATGCGGTTTTCTAACACGACCATGGTGTAATTAGAGGGCACGAACATGCTCTTGAAAGGACGCCTCGTTGATGAATACTCATTCATTGGTTTCCTCCCATCGTCAATCTACATGATCGCGTTGCTAATCTACATATCCCGTAAAGCCCTTCGAGTACCACCTCCAAACGACTTGCAATCCCAACGCCATAATCCGCAAAATGCTCGCCAATCACAGTTTGCTCTTCATTCGTATCCGTTTGCTTCATCTTAAACCCAAGTCACAAGGGCCTTGGTTTCATTTTTCTCTTCCTTTGACCATTGCTCATCTCTCGCTCAATGGTCGCGGTTCCGGCGGTACCCCTCCTTTCTTCTTTTCCGTCTCTCATCTGCGTACTCACTGCCAACAGCGCTTTGGCTGCTCAGGCCGGGGATGACGTGGTGGTACGACTTGTGACCCATGTCGCTTTCCACTGCGCTCGTGATATCGCTCTCTGTCCAGCTGCCGGGCATGCTCGGTTCCGGCTCTTCCTGCGGCGGGGGTAGGGCGTAGCCACGGGTGTTTTGGTCCTCGGCCACGGTGCTTGCGCGTTGGAAGCTGAAATCACGTCTCGAGCTGCCAGCGGCGCGACCCTTCTCCTGAAGCTTCTTTGCCTCGGCGCGGATGCGCTGGCGCTCGCGCTCCTCGTTGCGGTCTGCCGTGCTGTAAACCTTGCGAATGCCGCCCGTCCTACTTTTGGGCGGCGTCGACGTCGTCGCGGTTTCACGGGCGGAGAGCAGGTTGGTCGAGACGGACGACTCGGTAGGGTTAGTTGAGCCGTCCCACTCAGACGCTTCGGATTCTTTATTGAGGCCGCCGACGCGAGCAGGCTTCTCGTGGCGGTAAGATCGCAAGTGCTTCTTGGCCTCACGCTCCGCCTCCTCGTCAATCAGAACGCCGGTTTCGTCATAGTTCTTGCTGGCTGAGTGCTTCTCCTTATGACGTGCCTCTTTTTCCCTACGCCTCTTCTCGCGTTTCCTCTCGCGCTTCTCGCGGGCGGCGATATCGCTCGCACCAGCCGTGATGCCTGACAGTGTAGTTCCTGAGATGCTGGTTGTATTGTCATCGTAGTCCTTGTACACACTTCCGCCACCCAGCTGTGTCGTAGGCGTGGCCCCGGATAAGAGTGTTCCGTTGGGCCCTCTCCGGCGCAGAACCGTTGACTTGTACTCGTCCCAGTCGTTTTCCTTGAAGTAGAAGCCGCCATTTTTGGCCCAGAAGAAGAACCATATACCCCCGATGACGAAGGAGGCCCCGATCAGGCCAAAGATGACGAAGATGGCCGTGTTGTTGATGTTCTGGGGGTCGGTGACGCCGACGTGAGGGTCCTCCTTGTAGCCGGTGCTGTCGCGGGCAAGGAGGAGGGATCGAGCGGCGAGAGGTCCGACAGAGGCGTCAAAGGCCCGGGCTGTGATGTCTGCTGTGTCCGGGAGGCTTGAGAGTCGTCGGCTCGAGATGAATGAGCGGGCTTGGTGCGCCAGGCCGGTGACTACGGCCGGGGCCATGGTGGGCAGTGGACTTCAGGTGAAGTCTGAGTAGGTTACGGCGGTTTCCAATGAGAGGTTGAAGATGCTGGCAAGACCAGCGATAATCGGGAATGAAACAGTATGTGTAAATGCTGTAGATGGAATGCTCTTTGCAATCCACCTTAATCGAAAAAGATGGGGAGCGGCAATCTTCAGGCTCGATGCAGATGAAAGGTCGAAAAGTACGGAGTACAGAGCAGAAAAGAGTTGCCTAGCCAGCTGCGTGGTGGTGGACGTGTTGTTCCTATAGAAACCAGAAATTGCCGTGGCTGGGATGGCAAGTGAGGTGGTTGGTGGGGGAGTGTGCTGGGGGGGCGGCTTCCTTGCTCTTTGCATTCACTCGGGCTTCTTCTTATCCACTCGTATAGCGCCAACCTGGATTATCGTCCGGGATCCGGTCGTCCAAATTGATGCCTTACTAAGTGTTTTCTTGGGTTGGTTGGCTGATTGGTCTTTCCAAGCCTGTCATGTACTGTATCACTTGTGCCATTTTGTCTCTCTAGAGCTCGGTCTTCCCAGCCTCCCGACAAATGACGTCGTAAGTAAATAGACCTTTTCGTTGCCTAGCAACCATCGCTTACCTAATCGCGGCTACTCTCACCAGACTGTCCCGGTGCATCGAAACGGACGCAATGGACGGCAGCAGTAGCGCACGTCCTCCCGCACAAAACCAACGGTTCGAACGAAAGCCCGTTATCCGTATTCGTCCATCGCATTGATCAAGCTCATCGTGTGCTGGCCGATTCCTAAAGCCGGCCAATCGATACGAGCAGCGTTCCTCGAGCTTCCGACAACCAAACCGCCCGTTTCAACCATGTGTCAGAACGACAGGCACAATTATTGGAAGCCGACGGGTTTGGGGGGACTATGTGGGAAACATGCGTTTAACCGTTTTCATCTGAAAATTCCTATAGAACAACACGCGTGTAGCGTCTGCCATCCGAGACAGTTCTCTCGGGCAGCGATCAGACTGCCCTATATGGCAACTGATCGCTTACGGCCCTCCGTTTGGGGATGGGAGGGTGTGAATTTAACTTCGGCCGCCTTGAGCTAATCAACACAGATGTGCCAAACTGCCGGCACCCATCACGATGAGACGATTGGTTGATTCTGCGCGGCTGCTGTCCCAACACTTTTGTTCATTGCGGCCTATATGGCTCAGCCATCCTAGGGGTATCTGCCGTTGCCGTGAAGGGGCAAGTCGCCCGCTTCCTGGCATCGTGCCCATCCCATTCCTCCTTTTCCAAGCCCAAGCTGGTGATGACTGACAGCCATGGTAACCCCCCACCCCAAACGATGATAACTTAGGAGCAGCTGCCCCCATCCTAATGGTATCGTGCCAAATTTGATTCTAAGTAGAAATGAAGAAATGAAACCCAGTACATGCCCATGACAATTTCCCAAGTGCCGTCATTTCCTAAAAGCACAAGAAGTGCGAACTTCCCGATGCAGATTGTCTATCAAGTCGCCTTCCAACTCGTACGCCGTGCTGAAAATACGACACACGCTTCGCCAGGTCAGGTGGGATAGCCATACCCCTCCCTTACCAGGGCGAGAAACCAGTACTCGGTTTTCCTCCGCATATGCCCAGAAAACAAACGAATGCCAAAAGCATGTCCAGCCATCCAATCCCGAATTGTCATTTACCGCTGCAAAACCAAAATCCGGATGTACATGAAGCATTCTGCAAAAAAATGGTATAAAAATGTAGAGAAAAATTCAAAGAGCAGAGCTCGCGACAGCCTCCGCTTTGGGTATAAACTTTTCCGCTGCCAGAAAGTTGACCTGAAGCAGACGCAGAAGCAGAAAAGGGTAAAGAAATAGAGCGAGAAAAAAAGAGGAAAAACAAAGGCCAGCCATATCGATACAACTGTCGATCCGGGTACAGTGCAGAAACAACGCTCGCTCTAATAAGATTGTGTAAATGGTGAAAGGAAAACTGCGTCGTCTCGTCATCGTCGTTAAGCCATGTCGTCAGGTAAACGGGATTCTTGGGTAGTCGTAGCCGTCGTACTGGGCTCGACTGTAAGAGTCGGACTGGCTTGGGGATCGAGCGCGGATTGGCAGTCGCTCCATGCGGCTCCGACGGTCGTCAGAGTAGATGGTGCTGGCCCTGTCGCTGCCGCCGAGGCGTCCTAGCTGGCTGATGTTGATTTCACCACCGTCTTGACACTGGATCTCAGCGTTGCCTACCCTAAGGACAGCCTGTCCAGTGACTTTGATGGTAATGTCTTCGCCGTCGCCGGTGGACGACCGAGTGGTTCGTGTAGTAGCACTGCGTCGAAACTCGCTCTCATCGCGGCTTCCGCTGCTCCCACTGGACCTGCTGCTCTTGCTCTTCTTCTCGGCCTTGGACAAAGCCGCAGCAGTCAGAGGTTCCGCAGCGCCGCTCACGCCGTTCTGGTAGGCTAAAGCAGCGGCCGCAGCAGAGTCGTACTTGGATTGCGACATGCTACCGCTCTCACCAGCCATGTATGAATGACGGCGGCTACTGCGGGGGGCGGGAACGGGCTCGATCTGGTAGCCCTCACGGCTGTACGTGCTAGAGCCCCGGCGGTGCGAACGAGGCCTGGAAACCACACCATCGTCATATTCGTATCCTCGAGGGACGATCTCCTGGTACATGGATTCGTCGCCATCAAAATCATCCGACTCGTAGCCATGAGACGCAATTTGTCGCTGCGGAGGCGGAGGGCGAAGTGCCTGTCGTGACGGAACAGCCGTCCTCGAACGCGGCGGGGGTGGCGGCATCAGTTTGCGATCTTCAACGTCCCGAATCTTCAGCGACTGCCGCCTGACGATGTTCTCTTGTTCGTAGGTCGGCCCATAATCTTCATAGTCGAAAGAAGATACCGACATGGATCGATGTCCCATGGCGGACGAAGGCCTCTGCTGGAAGCGTCGAGCCAGGTTAGAATGCCGAGGACTGCTAGACATGAGGTCTGGGGGGAAGTAGTCGGTCGGCGTTTGCGGAGGCGGTGGCTGCATCGGGTACGGAACACTCCCTGGGCCCCAAGCTGGTGGGGGGTATGATGTGCCCGGGGCGAAGGGGGATTGCTCTTGCATAGGAACCGGTATCGGACCCGGGGAGAAAGGCGATGGAGCATGCTGAGAAGCAAGGGGAGGCGCGTGAGGAGATGGCGCAAAGGGCGAAGGATTCGGTGCCGGGGTAAAAGGCGAGGCAGCCTGAGCGGAATGCCATTGCTTGTTGGACGTCGGAGGTCGGGAACCTGGGCCATAGTAGCTGCTTGGGCGGGTTGACATGGCTCTGGGCCGCGAGCCCGATGCCGGTTGGATGCCGTACTGCGAGGCGTCGTCATCAAATCGTGGTCTTCTGTACTGGTCTGATTGCTGGGTATGGACGACGGGTGCTGTCTTGACGTGCTTTGCTGATGGGCGCACTGCGGACTTTTTGGCGGCAGCCCGCTCACGCTGCTCTCGCTCCCGTTCAGCGCGCTCGCGCTCAGCATGGCGGGCAGCCCTCTCCTGTTCCTTCCTGAGCTGACGCTTCTCCTCTCGGCGGGCATCTTTTTCAGCTGCTGCCGCCGCCGCTTCCCTCTCTTGAGCACGTCTCTCCCTTTCCCTCTCCCTCTTATCGGATACGACAGGGTGGACGGTGTCATCCGAGTCGGTCAGAGCGTGTTGCGGGGAGGTGACAGGTCTTCTCATCGACTTTTCCCTGCGGGACTTGCTATTGGCTTTTGTCTTGCCTGGGCTTCCTGGAGCGATCGACTGGGCGTACTGTCCGGTTCCCTGGATGACGGAGCCAGTTTCCTCGTCAACGTCTTCTACGTGGGCGATGTTTTCGCGAGGCATAGCGAAGCGGGTGTCGTGAATCGCTGGTGAGCTATTGTAAGATGTGGTGGCTCGGTAGTCAAGCGGCTGGTGAATGGAGGCGAATTTGCCTCGACGGAGGCGGGCAATCGAGAAGGCTCGCAGCAAGTAGTCGAAATTATGGTGAACAGGCGGGAACGTGGATGCGTGCGGTGGGAATCGGGAACTTTTTTGTATGAATAGCGGACAAGAAAGACAGTGGGGATGGGAATGCGACCACTATCTGATGGAGGGAGGGCCCGTATTTGTGGGTATGAGAACCCGACCGGGATGGGGGGCGGGGCGTGAAATTGGGTGTGGGAGGTGGTGATGAGACGCCACGGTACTCCGTACTGTTCAGTTGATGCTAGGTATAATGCCAGGCCGCTCGCTGCTCGTTGTATGGAGCATGTGCGGGTCGGAAGGGGATGAGAATCGTCGTGAGAAGAAGATGAGGGAGGCGAGTAAGACGATGTGGGCTATGGTATATTGTTGTTGTTAAAACGTGGAACGACCCAAACAGACGCACGAACTTGGCGGGTCGGGTCACGGACGAGCGCACTTTCTTATCAATTCTGCTTTCTGCGCTGCTTTGCTGTCCAGAGAGCGAGCGCAGTGTAATGTAATCACTGCGGCTTGCGCTGTGAGAGGACGAGTCCGGAGCGAGAGGGAGGGAGAGCGGGAAGGAAGATGGGGGGAGGTGTGTGCACAGCCTAACAAGAAAACCCCCCAAAGGACCAAGAGGGAAAGCGATTAATTTTTTTAGAAAATCAGAGCCAGACGTGCAGAAAGCCAATCATGGGTCAGCCAACGGATACATGTTTGGTGACAAGCCAAAGTGATGGAGGGGCGTGGCCGCAGCAGAAAAAGGACCTGGCAGCGGGTGATGTCTTCTCGTTGCCTAGGGTGCTCTGCCGCTTGTCCACTGCCAAACTCCAATGGCCGGCTAGTACTGTTCGATAGCGAAAAAGGTCAAGGAGGGGGCGTGTGGCTGTGACTGCAGCTGTGAGAGCTCCGGCCTTTGGTTCTGGGGCGAACGGGAGCGCTGGAACGGAGTGTGCTTCGTGAGAGGACGAGACCGAGACGGGAGAGCCAGGCTTGCAACGTGAAAGAGTGAGGGTGTGTTGCCAACTTGCTGGTGCCCAGCACAGCCCAGCACAGCTTGCAAGGCCTTAAAGCGAAACCCAATGCCGTGCAGTCTCGGGAGGATACGTCAAGAGTGTGGTTCTGGAGAAGCAAGGGTCCCGGAAGGACAGAGAGATACGTTGTGCTGTCGCTTCTCCCTGTCAAACAGTATCGAATTCGCCAAAATGGGTGGGGGAGGAAGCTTGCCGGCGAGTGGGATTGTTCATGCCTTCGCTGGCTGGGTCCTGGGAAAGTGACTGTGAGCTAAGAGAGTAGCTTCATCTCCACCGCGTGGCAGCAAGGAAACGCTCGGCTGGGCCGACCAAGAGGCGGTTCGTCTTGCTTCAGCAGCCCTCCCGTTGGCCCTCATTTTTCCGCATCACTCTGCGTCGACCAGGAAATCCGTTGGACCCAGCGATCGACCGTAAACTAGAGAGCTAGGCGGCCCCCCTGGTTTCGGCTGCTGGTGTTGGCACCGGTGCAAATCGTCGCCGCTTCGAGTCAGAACGTTAGAAGCACTCAGGCCCAACTGTGGAGAAGCTTGTCTTTCGTTTCTTCCCGTCCACGACCGTTGCAATGGCTTCCCTGCCAGGCTGTGGCAACTAGAGGTATTGTCCATAACACCAGCTGTCATATCAGCAAGCCCATCAGGTGCCGCTGGTGGGAACTGCAATAGCGCTGACGTCCTTGATGGCGTGTGGTACCGCTCGCTACCTAGCTCTGCCTTTCGCAACGCTCTGCTTGTGTGGTCTTCAAAGCACCTCTCAGGAATGAAATCTCGACGGTTACGAAACGCACGACGAGCGAATTGTTCTTTTGGGAAGACCCGGGGGTGGAAAGGCGGGAAGGGGAACGGCTGGTGGGTGTGGGAACAGTGATCGAGACAGGTTGACAGAAACACGCTTGCTGCCAGCTGTCTGTCCAAACGAACGAGACAGGCTTAGAAGATCCACCTCCAGGGCCGAACCAGATGGGGGCGCCGTTCGAAGATGACGGAACGTCATGGTGCCCGGTGCCTTGTGCCCTTTTTCGGCCGTGTTTGCGTGCTCCCTTTGGCTGATTTCCTGCCCGACGCTGCGCTGGGCTTGGGCTTTTGGGTATCAACGGGACTGACGAGCTGGCGAACGACTGCTCTGGTTCCAATCGATTTGTCGCGCCTCTTGTAGCGGGTTTATTTCCTTCTCGCTCGCCCAAAGCAGTAACCGGAGGTTCAACTTGGGAACTGGGAAGTTGGTAAGCGAGAAAGAAGAAAATCACTCAAAGGACTTGATTGATCAGGATTGAGCGAGAGAGTAGCTTGTCGCCGAAGCCAGGATCAGATGTCCAGCGCACTCGCGACTCAACCATTAGGAGACCATATTCGACCCCTCGAAGCCCTCCTAGACAACTGGCTGCTTTCATGACGCTGACAGGCAGAAACTGCGCACAATGCAGAGTACTGACTGCGTCGCCCTTCAAAGTTTAGCATCGCCAACACACTTGACTACCCCGGAAAGCCCAATCATGGGCCCGGCCCACCCGACCTGGAATGCAGACTCCTGCAACACAGGCCCGCTCGCTCTTCCCATAGGGCGGGCCCGGGACGGCAATGGGAGTCATTTCCCCATCTCGAGATCGAACGGTTACTGATTCCACCCACCGGTTCGGTCAGGGGACTGGTCTCCACGGCTTGATGAACGAGGCTATGTAAGATGGCATCACGTTGCTGAATTGCTGCTGCACTCCATACCTAGATCCGGCTCTCTGCGTCTCGTACTTCCGACGATCCTGTGTTTGAGAGGGTCGCGCTACTGAAAATACACTGCTCACGCGTGCGTATCAACTATCAAAGCCATAGAAGACTTCAGCGTTCACACGAAATGAAAACAGCCAAGAGCACATATGCGGGGTCAACGTTAGGTCCTTGTGTTGAGTCCTAAAGCTTGTCTCTGAGGTGACTCCAGAAGGCGTTGTCGCCACGGAAGTGTTGTTCCAATCTCATTGGTCCTTTGTTTGGTTCTCGAACGTGGCCACGAACGCCTCGATCATCGGCTCCTACGTACGGCGCTGGGCTCGTCGTCAAGTCGACACAAACTGGAAGCCTCCGAGGTGCTTCAAGTATTCCCTCCATCTACTCAGTTATCGCAATCGCTCCGTTAAAGCGTTGCTGGGCCGCCACCGTGGAATCGCTTCAAGTCTACAGTATCAAGGCGAGTAGAGACACAAAGAAACATGTGCGGTTGGCATCGGTTTCGTTGGTGCTGAGGCCATTTTCGGTTCGCATGGTTCGCAATAGCGCATTCCGGCTGCATGGCATGCATTCCTACAGAGGGTGTTACCAAGAACAAGCACCCACCGGGATCGAACTCCATCTAGCGCGAGGACATGCCGAAACGGGGTACGACTGAGGCCCTCCCGGAGCCTCTCATGGCTCCGTCCTGTCGAGGAAGCTAGTACTGGCTGATCCCCTCGGTGTCTAGATGTGGAACATTATTGCATCCAAGGCACGAACATGCTTGCTGCGCTGCTGGGGTGGGCTCTCCTCGCTCGTCCTTCCGAATCAATGTGTTTGTTAATGCCAGAAGCTGTTCGTCCATATTCGACGACCCTCAACAATCTCGCCGTGTCGCCATCAAGCAATGTTACAAACGAACAAGAGTGTTGTATCGATTGTTGTATCAGGTACAATGCCAACTTGTAGTTATAACCAGGAATACGCGATCCTTGCTGGCAAGTCCGGCCAACGTGTTAAACTGTTTGCGTGAAGGAAGTTCCCCAGGTTTTGATGCACGCCATGGTTGCATTGCTTAGCAATCTCTCACATAGTCAAGCGTGGTTGCGAGTTTATGATTTGCTTGAGGCCACAATCTGCTCGCTTGGACTGCATGGAGCCGAGAGAAGACAGTACTGTAGAGGCTAGATAGGGCGAAGTGCCATCATCTCGGGGCGGACGAAGGGACAGGTGGTTGTTGGCTGTGGAGTGCAGTGCGTGATTGACACCATCCTGGAACCACACCGCCTTTTCGCTTGAAGCATGATCCCTCGACGCCACTGTTCAATGTTTCCCGGGACGCCACATTGGCCAACCACAACACAGCCCGTAGACCAATAACGGTTTCGTCGAGTTGGGGGAACAAAGCCAGGGCAGCGCGCAGCAAGCCTCAGAACGGCAAGACCGTCTTGCCATGTCGTGCGCGAGCATGCCTGGCAGCCGAGATTGGTGATTCAAAATGCGACTTCCATGTCGGATGACACTGTCATCAAAGGTTGGTTGTCTTGCGGTTCTCGGCACAATCTGCCGCCCCGGGATGTTTCGTTCAATTCGAACAAATGCCTATGTACCTCGTGCTAGCCAGAACAACTTGACGATGGCACCTCAGCATACTAGTCATGCAGGGAGCTTGTCTCGGAGCATCGGACAGGTCTGGATCTGCCTCTGCGTAACCTAGGTTGCGTGGCGTTGCACACCAAAGCCAGATGCAAGCCAGGACTGACAGGCCGTTCTGGTCACGACATTTCTCCTGTCCGTAAGACAGGAATCTCAATGTCGGTGACGACTGGTCTGTGGTCAGACAGGTAGACGTCATCATCGAATTTGTTGGATAGCACTCCAAACGTCTTGACAGTGACGGGACTCGGGTCCTTGACGAACAGAAAGTCGATCCTTGATGGCTCTTCGTTCGGCTCATCAAACGAGGTGTACGTGAGCTTATTGCCATACCGCTTTTCTTCCGGAACCTGTGTTGAAACATCAACCATGCCTGACTCTGGTGCCACCATTGTCTTGTATGCCTTATCCTCGGGCGTGCTATTGAAGTCGCCCGCGAGCAAAACGGCAGTCGGTGGTTTGCCATTTGCACCCTTGCCCCACTCCCGAGCAATCCTGAGAAGCAATTTGG